GGCAGCCTGCGTGTCAGGTTCCGCCACTTGGAAGCCCAGACCCTGGAGAGCAATCAGAATTGGGTAAATGCAGCTGTTCTTTTGAAGGAGTAAGTTGAGGGCACTTAGCGAATCAACTTCCTAATGAATCTTTTCAGGTCTAGATGGAAGCTGTTCTGTTACTATGGAACTTGGCTTGATTTGGAAATTAATGTGGTAATTTGCAGCCACTCTGCCAAGCAAAAAGATTAAAAGAGATGGAGAGAGGGGGTGAGGAGAAAGATCTGCAGTGGCAAAACCTTAAGAGGCCCCAGACTGGGACAGGAGGGAGGCTCCCGCCAGATCGGCTTCTCTGGGACACAGTCTGCAGAGAAAGTCCTCAAATAAGGTCTGAACACCAAGGTCCCAAGTCCTCTTCTTGTTAGGGATTTTATTGAACAGCTAGATTGATACATGCATACACACAGACAACAGATTTTTCATTGCTGTGTTTCTCTGACTTCCAGGATTACTTACCAGTATCACGATTTTTGTCATGACCATACATCACCAAAACCATTATTCACTTTACAATATTTGTATTTAAATGTATTCACTTTTTATCTTATGTAAATTTTATATCACTATCATAAACAGAAAGCCAGTTGGTGATACTGGAAGATAAAGTCAATGGAAAATTAATTACAAGCAAAACAAAGTTATTCAAATTTTTGAAAAGACAAAATTATCAAATTCTGGAGGATCCTTCCTTGTCTGCCAGAGGCTCGGAGCCTGAAACCTGCCTTCAACTGGGGAGGGGAGGAAGCAAGTATCCAAGAGATGTTTAAGGCATATTAGTGCAAAACTAACATGTAGATTACCTCTGGATGCAATCGGACAGATTGAAAGAGGAGCGAAGCAGAATCTACTTTCTCACTGTGTGAGTCAGTGCTATTTAATGCTAAGACCTTGCAGTTGTTTATTTAATCAACATTTACATAGCACGGACTATGTGTCAGAAACTGATCTTCTAAAGGCTTTTTTAAAATTGAATTCATTCGATCCATTTAATTGCATACTAACCCTATCTGATATAGCAGTATACCCATTTTAGAGAAAGGAAACTGAAGCACAGAGAGGTTCGGTAACTTGGGGTAAAAGGTCACCCCAAATGCTATCACCCCAAACACTTAAACCACATGCACTTTTGGTGAGTCAAACTGGCCCAGAGTGGTCGGAGCTGCAGGCATTTGCAAGGGGCACGATTTGCACACTGAACTCTGCAGATTCCAGCCAGACCAGCCCACACTGGCCTCCGTGGGCGGTGCCATCAGCCCTCCCCCACCCTTCCCAACCCTCACCCCACCTCCACCACCACCCCCACTCCCCCCACCCCTGCCTCCGGTGCTCTGCCCCAGACTGTGAGTTCCTCAGCAGGTGCAGTAAGAGGCAGTTAGAATCTGACCCAAAGAAAAGTCTCCAGGAGAGAAGGGAGAGATTTTTTGTTTTTCTGTTTTAAAAACTATAGCAGAACCCCTAAAGCTGCTGCTTCTGCTTGTTAAGTATGCTTGAAAGAATCTTTGAGCCACACTCTGAGGACCAGGCCCAGGCTGCAGCTGGGGATCAGGTGGCTGACTCTGAGGAGGCAGCGGGATCCCTGGGCACAGGGGGTGGTGGGGCAGGGGGCGATGGAGACGTGGGGCTCTCTGCCTGGACTTCTGCCAGGAGGTGCCCTCCAACCCACTGTAGCAGTTCCTCCCGGGATAGCCTGTGCCTGGTTCTGGCCATGAGGTATAATGCAGGCTGTTACCCTAGTCACAACCTGGCAGAGATGACGGGGCCCAGCATCATTAGTATGATTTGAAAAGGGGGTGTGGAGGCACTATTTGGGAAAAAACTAATGCAGTGTTCTCTTTTGTTTTTCCAAGTACATGAGCTTTGCCCATTCTGACTAATATATTAACCCTTCTGGAAGTTAAGAAATTTCTTCTTCCAGAAGAAATTCCACAAGAAAAATGAAGTGTAACGCAACCTCTAATATTCAAAATAGTCTGAATTCTATACTGGCTGAAACTAAAAGCTGTATTTTGCCCCCTAGTGAGAAGAGAGAAGGGTAAGTTCAAAAGGAAGGTCAGATCTCCACAGAAATAAAAAAATTGTAATCTTTCGGTATACTTGAGTTGGAGAGTGAGTTAAATTTGAGACCCTAGGCCCTCTCTGGTGGCGCAACGGGTTAAAGCACAGCACTGAGAAGCTAAAGCCACTTCCGCATGAGTTCGATTCCTGCCTGCCCCGGAGGAGACCACATGGTGTGGCAGACCTCTCCTGGCCCGCCCGCTGCTCCCCTCAGCAGTGTACTTCGTTGATCTGCCTGTTCTGCTCCTCACTCTGTCTCTGGTGAATCCTTTCACCCTCCGCATCTCTGGCTTGTACCCCAGTTCTGTATGAATAAATAAATAAATCTTTAAAAAAAAATTTTGAGACCCTACTATAACAGTTAACATTCACTAAACACGTCTTACATGACAGATGTTTTATAGGAACGGCCTCATTTAAACTTCTGAATAATCCTGAGGTTGGTGATATTATTATCCCCATTTTATGGATGAGGAAAGGGAGGAGGATAAGAACAGGGTCAGACACCCAGCAGGAGACACAGCTGGGAGCTGAGCACTCAGTGCATTTCTGTAGACTGCCACAGCTACCATTCCCATGGCCACCATGAGTCATGAATACATCACAGGAGAGAGTCTATCTCCAAACCCAACATTCTTGGGCTCATGTCAGTCAAGGACCGGCCCAGGGACCTTCCAGGTAAGAATCTCTGTGCAGCCCAATACTAGAGCCCGTGATGGTTAGAAAGCATGCAGAAGGCACAGGCCTTGCACTGGGGGATGGCGCCTGCAGAGATATCTGCCTCCTCTGGGCACCTCCTGCAGCCCCCTACATCCAGATTCCTGATGTGTATTAATTCTGATCACCTCAGTGAGCCACTTGAGGTGCCAAGCACTAGCTCTCCAGCACACCTCCCAATCACCTCTGCCCTCTCCCCAGGAGGGAGTTCCAGGTCAGGCAGAGCTTGGCTTTCCCTCTGCTACTTGGACCCTGGAGAAGGTCTCCCCTCTTCGTCTTTCCCTGCCTTGTGTCCTCCAGCTACAGCCCCCGGCAGACAGGGGTCAAGCCTTATTCATCTGCAGGCCCTGCCCTAGGCCATCCAGAGTTCCTTTCTTCCCTCAGGTCCAACCTGCGGCATGACCTTCAACAGGGAATTACCTTCTCTTCACTTCAGTACCCTGATGTGCTAAACAAATGGCTAGAAACTCTGAGCTTTAGCACCTGCTCTTGACTGGTCTGTCTAGAGACAACTCATGCTATTAGATCGTTCAGATTTCTTTCTCCATCTTCAATCTTCCAACTCCTATCCTGACCTAAATTGCATTCCTTAATAAAAGTACTAAGACTTTCAGTATAACATCAAATCTTTATTAAGCACTTAACTACATGCCAGACATTATTCTAAGTACTTCTCTTTTATTAATTTAAGTTCTTGCAAAAACTCCATAAGGTGCATGCTATTAATGTACTTATTTTATAGAGAAAGGTACTGAGAAATAGAGGCGAAATGAATTATCCAAGGTCACCTAGCAAATAAGTGGGAGAGTTAGGATTTGAACTCTTAACGGTTCTCATGAGATGAAAAAGTGTGATGAGGCCTGAGGGAAGCTGCCTTGTATGGTCAGAGTTCCCATTTTTATATGTGAACCTTTTCAGGGAGGCCAAAGCAAAGATTTTATACAAATTACATCTTTTTTCAGACAACCTGTTCTTCTGTGATAGCCCCAAATTCAACTTTCTGGGCCAAATTCCCCCAGCAGAAATCTATCTTCTGTCAGTACAATTACCACCAATTCACTTCAGAATAAAAATCCCAAGTGTGGAGACACAAGAGCTTGGCAGAGCAGAAGGGAAAACTGGGAGACAACTTTGGACATGGTGTGTGATTTTGGACAAATTCCTGCTCCAGTCTGAGCTAGTTCCTCCTCTAAAAACCAGAGATGCAATACTGACCTCAGAGAGTTGAAGAAAATCAAACACTGTCAAAGCCCTGGGCAAGGGAGATGTAATTCACTCAATAGCTAGTCAGCAAGTGCCTACCTGTACCAGCACTGTTCATGACAAACAGCACCAAAAAGGGACCTTCTCTCCCTAGCTTACACTGGACAGTGACATTTGCACTGGAGTCATTTCCCAAGCCAGCTATTCCTGAAGGAGGCAGGCTCTGTTTATGAGGCCACCTTATTCCCCTCACATCAGAATCTCAGGATGCTCACTCACTCAGAATCTCAGGTGCTCATCACCCAACTTGTTTCTTCCCTCCTTTGCCTCCACATAAGGCCAAGGGCTGGCCTGCTTCTCTGGGCCTCCTTCTGTTGGGGGGAAAGGATGCCCTGGACAACCTCCACAGACACAGGTTTAACAGACCCAGCCCCACTCCAGAACTAAGAGATCAAGACACCAGGAACTACAAATCCCAAAATGTCATCATCACCAAAGAGAAGATTGCTGGGAACTGAGGATGGGGGTTAAGCAGCCATGCCTGGCATATAACTAGACATGTGGGTTTTGAGGGTCTCTCAGTTTTTTTGCTGGCTCTTAATATGCTATTGGGGTTCCAGCTCAGCAAAACAGGTAGGATACAGTCACCAGTCTATCTCCCTCTCTTTCTCCCTGAGCTATTCATTTCTTCATTCCCCTTCTTTTGTAAATAAACCCTTGCTAACCTTTTTGTGTGTACCTGCAGCTGAGTCTCTTTAGAAATCCACTGTATGACTGCAGGTGAGGACCCACAGTCTGGCAACCCATTTTATATTGTAACAGGGTGGTCCCTAGGAAAAGGGGAAGTTCCAGGTTCCCTGCCCCACCCAGAAGGAGGGTGGAGCTGAGCAGAGAAAAAGGGAAGAAGAGAAGGAAGCTGGATGGAGAAGGAAGAGGAGGTGTGGGGAAGCCACATGGAGCAGCAAGCATGTGAGGAAGAAGCCGTGCTTGTTTCCTGACCCTGCACTGGTTAAGGCAGATGTGGGTGAGAGACCTGTAGGGGGGTAACTCTGGCAGTGTTCATATTGATTTTGATTTTGCTCTTTTCCTCCCAGATTTGTCTGGCCATTTCTGACCCTTTTCCATGGGTCCCGGCCAGAAGATGCTTTAGTCTTGTGGCGGCTTTCAGGCCTTGCTTTGGACCAAGCCCTTTTGGGTGGCCCACAAGGGGATGGGTAACTTGAGGTGTTTGATTTAGAAGTTATATTCTTTGTGTTCCATATTGTATATTTACTGTATTAAAGTCCCTTTTCGTTAAAGTTTTATATGTTTTGTCTTGTTGCGGTGGATGGCAGAACCCACTTAGAGCAGGCAGGTTTGGGGCTTCAGGGGTGCCCCTCTCTCCCTGTCCTGAAACAATATCAGGGTTGCCTTGTAGCAGTTCTTTTTCTCTCAAATAAGGAACTGGAGTCTGATTTCCAGGTTTCTGCAAATGGCCACCACTGATTGTGTGGTTTGCTGCTCCTTGGTAGAATGGCCCTCTCCCAGGTAGGGTGAGGTGGGGGTGGGCATGAAGATGAGCCCACACACCCAGGAGGGCCTTTATAGACACCAGTCATCACTGAGCCTGAGGCGCTACGTTTACTCCCTGACCACATCAAACACCTTCGAATTCCCTCACCACCCCTGAGATCACAGGCTGCTTCCTTCACCTGGCAGTCACCTGTCCATTGCTTGCCTTCCTGGCCAGTTCCTTTATTACCTTTAAAACTCAGAGCAGACGTTACCGCCCCTCTAGTCTATTTTTGCACTCAGTGCACTCGAGTATAATTTATTGATTTGCACATCTGTTCTCCCACCATGCTGTGAGCTCCTTCAGGGCAGAGAGTGTAATTTATAATATTGTGTCCCCAGGCCCTAGGTCAGTGCCTGGCTTACAGCAGGTGCTCAATTGGTACTGGATGGATTGAATTGAATGTGATTTAAAGTCACTGCTGTCTAGTCCCTGTCACAGGAACTGGCAGGCTAGGATTGGATCCCAAACCTGGGGACATCAACTCCAGCACCTCCTCTCCCTGCAGCTGTCAGGAGAGGCATAGAGGAAGCCACTGGAGGAGGAAGGGTGTCCAGACCAGCTGCTTTCACCATCCTTCTGCCACAGGGAAGACCTGGGGGGAGGGTGACTGGAGGCCTCTGTCCCTGCTGGCATTGCTGTCCACCTTGCTTCCTTCCTTGTCACCCTCTACACCCCCACCAGCCAGTAGACTGGCTTTCTGGGGACTAAAGTCCAGCCACCCTTTCCCCCTTCTGCATTCTTTCCTGGACCTCTAAGAAATAAGGTGAGCCTTGGCTTTCTGAATGAGGTGGGAGGAGACAAAGAGAGCCACCCACCCCCATGCCTGTGGAGTGCCCAGTTCATATTCCTGCTGTGACTGTATCTAAATTTGCAAATCGTCACCCCAAGCCCCGCCATCATGTGTCATCTTTTATGCATGGCCACCTCTGCGGCGCTGCTCGGCCAGTTGCTATGCAACCGACGATGGCGCCGCAGGGGCCTGACATTAGTGAAAGCAAATTGACCAGAGGAGCCCTCATCCCGCATGCAAAGCAGCCAGGGCCTCCCTGAGCCACCCTCTGTCTATAGTCCAGGGCTAGACCCTTGGACTATAACCTCCCTTGCCTAAGCTGCAGAGGCGGGGAAATCTGACCCTCCTACTCCTGGAAAGACTTAAATCTGGCCAGTGAAAGAGCCATCCCCCAAGGGAAAGGAGGGCCAACTACTTCAGAGTTTAAATTCCTGAAGGGCTAGCTGGAGGGTAGAGGGGGACGGAAGAGAGCTACAGATTCATTGAGCACTTGCTATGTGCATGTCTCAGTAAGAACAATTCAATGCGAAAAGCTCTAACTCCCTGGCTTCCAGCCCAACTCCACCATCGCTCAGTTGGGTATCATGCACACAAATCATTTAGCAGGACTGAGATCAGGCTACAGAGGAGCCTCTCCCGGAGCACTAAGAGGGCAGATAAGAGGCTGAGGGTGAGGGAGGCTAGCACAGGAGCAGTGGAGAGAAGATGAGAGCGGGAAAGGAAGGGAGGATGCTGCGGGCACACCTAGTCCTGAAGGCCTCCGAGCCTCCTGCTGGGAGGGAGAGGAAACTGGAAACTGACAGTTCTATTCTCTCAGCTCAACCCTTCATACTCCCACTCCAGGAACTTGACCTCACAATTTCACTTGAGAATATACCATTTTGCACTAGGAGGCAGCAAGTTGTGCTGGAAAGAGCAAAGGCTAGAATTGATTAGAACTGGCCTCAAATCTTCAACTCCCATCTCTCATTCTTCTGAAACTTGGGACTGTGACAAGTTGTTTCTGCCTTTTGAATTTCAGGTTTTTGATCGGTAGAACAGGCACAATGACACCTACCACCCCAGGTTGATTGGCTGATGCAGGCAAAGGGCTAACAGAAGGTTAGTGAATACTATTCTTCACCCCAAATTCTTCAATGGCTCCCAGTTGTCGAAAGACAAGTCTCCTTCCTCAGCCCCACTGGCCCCCACCAGCCACCCCATGTCTTCCTCCCCCACCCCACCCCAGCCCACACATTTGCTCCTGCCTACCAAGCCCTTCCTCCACCCCACCTGTGCATTTTATAACTCTGGTCTACCTCTCAGGGTCCAGAAAAAGTAAAATAAAATTCAGCTCCAGCAGGCAAGCTTGCCCCACCAGACAAGTGCCCCAATCCACTGAGATTCCCCAGGAACAATGGAGCAGGGAACCAAAATGTAAATTTCCCTTCTCACATAGTGAGCTTGAGTTGTTCTCCCAAACTTTATGAGGAGATCTGTCAGAATTTAGTAGCCTATTGAGGAGAGCAATTCTGAGGATCCTGAAAATGTGGGGCTGCCTCACCCTGAGGGTGGGCATGGGGCTACTTTATATGGCTCAATGCAATGACCTACTGGACTTCAAGCATGATTCTTGGCATCATAATAACACCTGGAGTTTGGTCATGTTAAACACTTGCAAGCATTAACTGACGAATCCACAACAATATTAATATATTACCATCATCATACAAATCAGTGAGGTAGCTACTATCCCATTCGCTGAAGAGGGAACGGAGGCTCAGAGAGGAAACATCACACAGTCGGTGGACAGTGGTAAAACGGGGGCAAATCTGATGTTCTATCTGAAAATGGGTGCTCAGTTTGTAACGATGGACTTGGACGATAGCATCCACCATTGTTAACACTTCAGACAGAGTTACTTATTTAAACAGCCCACAAGATGCCAGGCAAAGCCGCTTACTTGCTTCTTGAAAGAGCAAAGCTTCACCAAACTGGGAGAGCAAGAGGAGGCACGGGGGTCCAGAGAGCACTGCAGGACTGCCAGGCCTGTGTCCAGGGGCCCGCTCCCCAGAGCCTGCATTTCCTCTCTGAAGTAGAAGGAAAAGCTACTCCACCCGCCCAGCTCTATTCTGAAGGTCAAAATGTACAGACACCACAGTGCTAAAGGTCTGGCGAGGGATCCCTCCTCCCTTGGCAATGGCAGTCCTCCAAACCAGAGGCTTGCAACCTGTTCCTGACATCCGCATTTCTTTAATTATTCAATGTTGAGAACTGTGTTGTCATTGTTGTTTAAGAGGAGATGTGCCAATTGTATTGCCTTCGTGCTGTATTGAAAAGCATTCCTTCATTATTTGGACTAATTTCCAAACAAATTAAAAACTGTTGTAGCAGTCAAGCTCTGACTGCTCCATCTATTAGATTCAGAAGATGGCAAATTCCTTAAATCACAGATATAAACAATTCTGGTAACACGATCTGATTTTACAATTAATTTTCTGCCTGGAAAGACAAAAGTTCTTCTTTCTACTTTCTTTGCCTTCAAGTCCCTGACTACTCTTTCACTTCTGGCTGACTTTTGGTTAAGGAAAAGCAGATTCTGTTACCTGAGATCTGTTGCATGTAAAAAGATGTCTTTTCTCAAATGTCCTTTTCTCAAGGATGGCAAGGCCAGAGGAAGACCAGAAGCTCCTTTACGCTCTGAGACTGGCTCCTGGTCCACCCACAGCCACAGTGGACACATCCTCATCAGGACATGGTCACCCAGCAAACCCACTCTGGTAAGCAGCCCACAGAGGCTCCGGCCTGCCCACCTGGGGCAGGGGCACCACTCAAAATTACAGTGTGAGACTGAAACAAGTAAAATAATGGAGGGCAAACACACACAGAGGGTTTAAGTAGTAGAAGATTAGATGTCTGAGCCTGTAGAGGGAAAATGGCCATAAAGGATAGATCTAGAAGCCAGTCTGGGACCAAGATCAGGACTCAGTCTGGTTTATGGCTCAAAATATGGCTAGGCTAGACCTCAGGCTGGATCCAAGTTCAGGACTCAGGCATGTCCCGGAGCAAGACTCAGTCACTGAGCAAAATAAGACTTTAATTGAGATCTGGGGTGTGAGACCCATCTGTGGCCCAGTGCCCAGAATTTGCAACCTTGAGGCTGCAAAGATATACAGGAGCTGCCCTGGCAGAAAATGATCACAAGTTAGATGTACAGGAATAGTGCAGCCTGGGCTTTGGAATTCAAAGTTGTGATTCCCATCGCCTCTGCTTACTCACTGAGTAAGCAAGTCATTGAACCATCCTGAGCTTCAGTTTCCGCATATAGAAAATGAGGCTAAAGAAATCTCTAGTATGAGGCAGTGAATGTAAACAGACTTTACATACCACATAACCTTACTCAAGTATTAGTTTCATTTATTCACTGAAAGCATATTTTTGAGTTCTTATTGTGTATCAGACAATGTGCTAGAAATTGACATACGCATCAGATTTAAATGTGGATGCTACTGGTGAGAAGAGAGAGCAAGTTTAGAGGAAACAAGGAGAGGGGAAAAGTTTAGTTTATAATGAGATAAGATGTTGCATTGAGGGTCTGGGGCTCAGAGACGACTCAACTGATTGTCATCTAATGAGGAAGGTTTCCCAAAGAAGGTAAAATTTGTATAATTGTGCCTTGTGGATAATTGGGGCTTTTCCAAATGATGAAGGCAACTGAGCAGGGGAATAGAGAAGGAAACACAGAGGCATGAAAAAGATATGCACTTAGACCATCAGGACTGGCCTGGGTGTCACAGTGTATATGGGTTTTGGGCCCTGAGAGAGACTAGGAAAATCTCTTGGGATTAAATGGTATAGAGGGCATGTGAATACTTTCTTACAGGTCACAGGGATCTACTCTGGCATGAGAGCTGCAGTGGCACTAAGGTGAAAGGAATAGGTGAGAAAGCCTACCCAAGACCCAGGAAGAAGAACTGTGGGAACCAGTACCTTAAGAACCGCAACATCTGGGTCCTCTCAATTATTACCACCACACAGCTACCACCACTACCAAGCTGCAGCAGCTTCACCTTCAGAGAGCTACTCAGCATGGTCAATCTTCAAAATCTTACTGCAGCCTATTGACATGCATTCACTGTCACCCAGTGAGCTTTGTTTGGTTATCCTAATTGTGTTTCTATTGGCAGGGTAGAAGATGAAACACCTTCTAATTAGTCCTGAGTATCCCTCTAAAGAGGTCTTTATCAATTTATCTATTGCTGTGTAACAAACTATCCAAAACTTAGTGGCTTAACAAAGCCATTTACTTGGCCCCTGTTTCTGCTGGCTGGCAATGCGGGCAACCCTCAGGTAGGCAGTTCTGCTGAACTTGGCTAGGTTTGCTCATTTATCAATGAGAAGCTCTGTTTTCTGGGACTAGATGGCTGTCAGCCGAGGGTAATGGGGCCAGCTGAGCTACTGTTCTTTCCTTGTCTAGTAGGCCAGCCTGGGTTTGGCCACATGATGGCATCTCAGTGTTCCAAAGGGATCAAGAGAGGAAGCTACAAGGCCTCATGAAGTCTACACTTAGAACACACCCAGATTCAAGTACACCATGGGCCAAGGCAAGACAAAAACCAGCCTGAAATAAGTACACTCAACCTATTGAAGGGAAAATTTGCCAAGTATTGTGCCATCTTTTAATATACCAAGGTCTACAAATTTTCTTCTTTTAATACTGGCATATGCTGGAAAGGAAGAATGAAGAGTGTTCCTAAAAGTTTTTGTTATTGCTGCTAAATAAATTATTCCCTATAACCAGGACATACACTGAGAGCCTGGTCCATCCCCTGCTGTTTATTTATTGTGCATTATTATTATTTATTGAGTACCTCCCACATGGCCCAGACCAGTCAAATAACAGCAGAAAAGGCATACACTAAATAGCACTTGTTCCCAGGGTGTTTACAGTCAAATATGGAAAACATCTTGAATAAATAATATAAATATTTGGTGAGTATCATGTCTGAAAGTTTTATAAATGTATTATTAATTATTTCCTTGATGGTTGTTGCTGCTGGAGTCCTGACTTTTAAAGCCTTTGTAACCCTACTTTAAATAAATATTCAATTGTCGAAATGGGTTTTTGAAAAAAGGAAGGTAAACCTCTGGCTGAAGTTCCCCACTAGGCAAACCCAGGCCTGTCAGAAGGCCAAGACCAAAACAGGGAAACTCCAGTTCAACTCCAGACCCAGGTCATGGCCTCTCCTGGAAAAGACTGATGCTGTGCTCCCTTCTCATTGTTTGTCTTTCCAGGTGACACCATGAGAGGGCGGCTGGAGGCCCAACTTCAATCAGCCTAGACTAGTTGACCCAACTCCAGGCTGTCTCTGTTGCCAGGTCTCCTATCGGGCCCCTCCCACAGGCATGTAACATGCAAGCTGACCTCTCAGCAGCACTTGCCTGCCTTTCATTCAAATGTATCATGTCTACTTACTTAGCTGTAGATAGTGTTGTAGCTTTTTTCTTTTTTTCCATTTGACAATGTATTAGGAAAATTGCCCTATGCTGTTACTTAAATCTACCCTATGGGATACAGAATGTATAAATGGATGTTAAAATATATTATTAAAAGAGAAGTTGTTTGTCCAGCAACTCTCTTGAAGGTCTCTTCTTCCCCAAACTCCTTCTGTGACCAAGGCAGTCAGCTTCAGGCGTAGGGCTAAGCACCCACTCTTTCCCTCCTTCTACCTTTGTGGGGATTAGAATATTTCCATGAATCCTAGTAGATAGATGTGAGACTTAGATTTTAGCATTGGTGGCCTGCTCAGGTCTGGGTCTGGTAATCTGTTGTCTGTGCATTGGAAAAGCTCAAGAGAACTGTATCCTTCTGCCCACTGCTACTTCACTGACCAAAAGTCCATCTGGCCCAGCCACCTGTTTAGGAACAGGACATATGAATGTCCTCCTTTGATGGACTCGGCCTCTGAAGTGCAGAGGAGGTAAGGGTCCCCCCAAGCTGACACAGGGAAAGATGGAAACCATTTCTGAACTCCCAGATTGGCAACCTCACTGCAGATTTTCTTTACTTTACAGATGAAGCTTCTAGGATTCATCCAGTCCAAAGTTTCTCGATACCTTAGGAGTCTTTATAACATTTTTTTTTCCTAATCCAATCCCCCTAAAAAATGTTAAGACTATAGATTTAATAGACAGCTGGTTTCTATACTCTGTATATATCTGAGGTTTATGTTAAGAAAAGAGTAAGCTTTTTTCAACTCCCAAGAATCACATTTCACCCACCCTTTGGAGGTCCCCTGGAAGATGCATGAGCTAGCTTAACCTTTTCATTTTACAGTTGAAAAGACTGAAGCCAGAGAGGGCAGGGGAATGCCTCTAGGTCACTAAGTTCAGGCCCATGGGGCCAAGAGTAGATCGGAGGGCTCCAGACTCCTCCCCACTCGCTGCCTCATGGATAGCTATAGAGGCTTTGTGACTCCCTCCTGGACATCGCCCACCCGTCCTCCTCCCTCCCCAGGATTCCACCCAAACTTGGGCCTTCACCTGTTCAAGAACAAGGTGGTCAACAACTGAGGATCCCGGGACCTCCTAGACTCAGCCATGGACCATCCATCAGGAAGCCAGAAGGTTGATGGAGCCTTTCTTCATAGCTATGGAAGTGGACAAGCGCTGCTCAGCTTGGGCGCTCACAACAGGGCTGACAGATCACACCACTGCCTCCTTGAGGTTCTGCCCCATCACCTTTTCCAAATGCAAGACAAGCATAAAACTACTACAGCAGTGAACAAAAAAAAAAATCAACTTGGAAATAATTAAACAGCAAGGCAGCCACCCATAATGATATTCTGCAGCACACTTTGGGGACAGTTTGCTGCAAAAGCGCCCGAGCACTCCGGTTGTTTAATTAACATTGAAACGGCAGTTCCACAAGAACTAAAAACCTTGTTAATTTATGTGTCTCTTAATGATGCTCATTTAAATACTGTCAACTTTCCCTCGGTTTAATATTCATGATTTTGAGTCATTAAAACACTATGATCAGCTGGAGGGGGAGGGACTTTCTTACACACCGACAAACACAAACTGTTTGCAGACAATTTCCGAGTTCCTCCCCACCCATCCCTCTCCCCCTAAAAGTTCAATCCCTTAGAGAAGCCAACTGGGGTGCTTTCTCAGGGCTACTGACAGTGCAGGAGGTTGAATGTAGTTTTGTCTTTCACTGGCCACTTCAGAACTGGGCCTTCCCTGATTGTCAACCACCACAGTGCTGGGAAGATTTGCTGGCAAAACACAGGTTCTTGATTCACACCTCACCAAGAGTCTGGACTCCAAACCCCAGGCATCCAGAAGTATTTCTGTCATGGTTCGGTGACACAAGTTACCCTGAAATGTATTTCTGAGAGGACATTTAAGGCTGGTCAGGATAAGATGCTGAAGAGGCGAGGCGGCATAATCCTCAGCAGGAACTGTGGATGCCCTCATGGGAAATGTGCAACAAGTCACACGAGGCCCCATGTAGGAGCTACCGGCATAGTGAAAACTATGGGAGAGCCCACCCGCATTCCCACAGCTTCCACACATAGATACTCACAGCAACACATGCGAACTCTTATAAGAGCATGTGGAAGTCAATAAGGAGGATTTGAGTCAGTCCAATTCAACATGCTCACATTCTAGCAATAACCCACACACTGTTCTGAAGATTCCAAACTGATCTAGTAGGGAAGACAGACAATAAATGGGTAATGCAGGGTAGGTGAGTGTGAGAGGGTGTTGGGTGTAGACAGGAAGGAGTGCATGAGGAGGCAATGAGGTGGACATCAGAATACCAACCAAAACTTAGTTGGTTCTCCTAAGAGCTAGTTGGCTTTCCCATCTCTAGATCTCTCTTTCTGCAGGACCACTATACAACACTGGAACTTGCTTTCAAAGAGCTACAAGCCAAGTACTGGGTAAGTCAAATCAACCAGCATCTCTTTATATGTGCTTTCCTCCAGACAGACACACAGACCATAATGGGTTGTGAAGGTTGACTGGAGCAAGGGACAGAGCTCTAATTTCGAAGTCATCCAAAAATGGGTTCCTCTTAATATTCTTATGACCCTAGGGGAAAAAAATCAGTTATTAATAAATGAGCCCCTTGTCTGTAAAACTGAAATAATAGCACCTGATATCCTTTTTATTGAAAATACCTGTTAATGGTTTGTCTTTCCCATTAGAATGAGATCAGGAACCTTGTCTGATTCACCTCTGTATTTTCAACATCTTCCATATATTAGGTATTACATAGATGTTCAACTAAAATGAACTGCTGACCTCACAGGGATATGATTATGACTAAGAAAAATAAAGTATGTAAAGAACATTTAGTAGGCACTCAACAAATTACTATGACTAGGGAGGGGAAGAAGAAAGGCTTCAAGAGAGTTTGAACTTAAAGTGGATTTTGAAGGATGATATAATGTGGGCCAAAGGGTAAAGTATCTTAAGTTCAAAGAGCAGAGTGTACACAAGCCAGGCATAAGAAGTTCAACTCTTATGGTTTAACTGGTTCTAGAGTCACCTCTTCCAGGAAGCCTCTCTTGCTTCCCAGTCTCTTCCTGGTGTCCTGGTCTAGCTTTATAACACTATGTGGTCATTGCTGTTTATATTCCTGCATTCTCACTTGGCAGGAAAGGCCTGTTTCTGAATCATCACTGCATGCCCAGTGCTGAGCACAGATCTGGCACAAAGTAGTTTTGCCTAATGGATGGAAAACAGTCTGAGTAGAAGTAGCAGTTAGATAATGTGACCCACAAGTCCACTATTCAAGCAAATGTCAGTATAGGCCCTCTGGAAAAAGTCACGAAAGCCTGGACCAAGCCCAACTTCCTCTCCCATTCCCTACCCATCTCATCACTCAAGAGATCCCATGCCCTAATAGGATTCTGTTCTATTCCTCCATCCTTTCTGCTGTTTCTACTTCTATTCCCACTAGCCCAGCTTAGACCTCACCAATTCCCCCTGCCTCAAGCTGACACTCCCAAGACCCTGTAATCAATCTCTTCTCTATGCATAGCCAAAGAAATTGAGCTAACAACCAAACCCTTCCTCAGAAGGAAATCAAACTTCACAACCCAGAAGGCCCTTTGGGATGTGAGCACTGCCAACCCCGGCATCCCCAGCCTCATTCTCAAGCCTACTGGCTCCAGCTAGTCTCCCCTCATTTCCAGGCCTTTTACCTGCATTTCCTCTTTTGAAAAACTCTTTGTCCTCTTCACCCCCCCTTTTCCCAAATATGTATTCATCTTTCAAGTCTTAGTTTCAATGTCACTTTTCCTGATCCTGCTCAGTCTGGGTAGGCCCCTTAATTCTTCCCTGGGCATCTCTTCTAGGACACTGAGCATTTGTCAGATAAGATGTAAGGTGCTGTGGAGGGGAAGTAACAGTGGGGGAGGAAGCCCAAGTGGAGTCTGTTCTTTCCTGGTCTACTGCAGGGGTGGCTCTAAGCAGACCTCCCCCGCCCAGCAAGTCTCTGTGGGCTTTGCCAGGTGAAATGAGCTGCTGGAGCAACCGCCTTCCTCCTGACCTCCTGCCTCTGCGCGTCCCCATGACTCACTGATGGAAAACATCCACCCCTTCTGGGCCTCTTCCTTATTTCATCACTTTAATAAATTAAGAGCAGATTGAAAAGCAGGAAACATTGTCTCTCGGGCCCCAGCACCCACATTCCAACTCAATTACAAGATTTGTTTTTCGAGTCTGGCCAGAGGCAGCTGGGATGCAGCAGAAGAAGCAAAAGAAAGAGTTTCAACCAGGAGGCCAGAGAAGGCAGTTCAGCTCCCAGCTCAGTGGCTGACCAGGGTCCTCAGGCAAACCCACTCACCTCTCTGTACTTCCCACCCTTGTCTAAGAAAGGGGCAATAACAATGACACTTCCTTCACAGGGTGATGGGAGCATGTCCAATAAGGTAGGGAGTATAAAGGTACTTTGTAAACTGTCAAGTACTAGACCATGTGAGAAATAGATCATTGCCAATTCTCTTGGTTAAAGCTAATATGACATGAGGTCCTCCCTCCCTGTCAGCCTGCAACTTGAATTAAAACCCTTGATCTCTGAGGTAAGTCTTTCATTCTCCCACTTCTTATGGCAACTAAAACCAGGAAGAGGAGCTCTATGGATCTTCAGCCCTATATTCAGCTGTTGTTCTTATAGTTTTCAGCTGAAAGCCAGACTGCTGTGTTAGGAAGAAAAAGGAAAAAAAAAATAGGCCTGGGTGTGAGCTGGGAGGCAAAGCTTTGTTCCTGACTATGTGATTTGATTTCTTGCCAACTGCATCACTTCCGTGGCTCGCAGTTTCAGTTTCTCCATGTATAAAATGAGGGCAGAGGGGGGATTGAGTTAATAACCCTTGTCTTGATAACCACACAGGGTGGTGATTAAGATCAAGTTAGGCTCTTTACAAGCTATAAAGTTCTATACAAATGTAAACTACTGTTAAAAGGAGATTAATAATAATATATAATTAATAATAATATAATAGTGACTAAGTAATGGATGAAGAATATTCCAGTTAGATGATAATGCCTCCTTCCTCTTCTTCAGGGAAGAGAATTGCCTGGCTCTCTTTGGTTACCCCTCCTGAGTTTAAAATTTATGATTCTGGAAGTTCTTCCTTCTCTAACCCAATTATCTCATGCTTTCAGTTAAGTCATTCTCATTTTCTGCTCTCATTTGAAAAGAATAGGTCACCATATTCTTTAAAAAACTTAAAAAGCCTTCTTTAAACTTAACCATTCATAAGACAAATTTTTTCCTTCTAACATGCCATCAGAGAAAAGCACATTGGAGGAACAGTGACAACTGCTTTGGAAAAGGTGGGTCAGCGGTGCGTTGTACATCTTTCACTTGAGAGACACAATAGGCTAGCTGGAAATAAAATCTGAACATTCAGTAGACAGTGCTGTGCTGAAAACAGTGTTTTGGAGGCCTCAGAATAAAAGTGGCAGCTGAATAGTTTCAATCTTATTAAACTGCTCTCCATTTCCTGGCCAAGTCATCCACTCTCAGGCCTCCTGACTCTTTGCTCCTGCGGTTCTCTGCCTAGAATGTCCTCTTCACCCATGATATCCTATGCATTACCTCCAGAGGGATTCAAACATTGCTGAATAGTTCCTCGCTCTTCAACAAGGTGTTGTAAGCTAACTTCTAGACTTCTGAACACAGGTCTTCAGATAACAATTCCAGAGATTTATTGCTGTGTTCTTCCAACTACTCCAACAGCAAGAGATATGTGGCAGGGGTGAATTACTTTTAAATATAAGACAGATTCTGAATTTAGGGCAGCATCACACTGACTTTGAATTAAATTAGCCAAGTAAGTTAGCTGGTAAATATCCAAGACCCTCCGTTGCTTCAGAGGTTGGGCTGCCTCAGAGCTCTCCATGGTGCTGATGTGACTTGCCAGCTCTGAAAGTCTGATGTGCTCACCCCATAGACAATTTGGAGGCTTGTTTGGGATAGCATTTCAGTCATTTCCTAAGTGTAACTCCCTTTCCCAAACTACCTTAGCCCTTCCCTATGCTACATACTCCCCTGTTAGTAATTACTCCTGGTGAATTTCTCATCATTCAAGACTTGGCTCCATGGTCTTCCTAATGCGAAGAAGCCATATTGGTTTTCTTAGCAAAGGTTCTCAGGTATCTAATATGTATCATTCACTATAATTCTCACAAGCAATGCCACTTATTATATAGTAATATAGTATATGGCTTACTAATTTATTGTACTTATTTTTTACTGTCTCTCTTCTACCACAACAATATAAGGTTCACAAAGGCAAAGGTTATTGTCTATCAACTCAACCAATTTATCCTCAACAACTATAAAAGTGTCTTACACATAATTGGTTGGCAATAACTTACTGTTGAATGATTAAATGAGTTACTAAGTTATACACAAACAATCATATAATATAGAGAGTTACAATTTGTATTTCATATATAAGGGTTTAGGCAAAAGAAATCTTCATGGGTGTTTCTTTTCCTCTGAGATCCAAACTCAGAGTGTGCACTCAGAGACCTGAAATGTCAAGGTCAGC